TGCGTTTATATGGAAGGAGTCTGTTACAGACTCCAGCTGTCTTCTGCCGATGCTCAGACTCTGGCACAGGGTCGGGAACGTTGGAAGCTCTCTCTGACGGTCTGCCTCTGCGACCGAAAAGCAGAAGCGGCGGTGGAAGATGAAGACGAATATGCGGAATACTGCCATCTTTCCGCACAAGAGGGCAATTAATTAACGAAATGCATAAGTACACGTTAAGCAGTAGGCTAACTTTAAATGGCTCCATAAACCATCTATCAGAGAGCAATGATGGTTCTTCATGATTCAAGTCAAGAAAAATTGTCGCCGAGCTCATTGACCCTCATCCTTGGCGAAACTGACAAAGAATGATAATGGCAAATGCCTGCTAAGGCTTTGGCAACCTGTCTGCTTAATCTTAACAATTAGCATGACCAGTTTCGTTGCAAATTCACCAAGCCACATTGATGTCCCGCAATGAAATCTTAAGGACCCAACCGGGCAGTATCCTCGTTAGTTGCGCAGGGAGCACTTCATTACTCTTAGTTCATGTCAGTCTGCCTCTGAAAACCGTACTGTTGTGGTCGAACTTCGGGGTATCACAGTGATGTCGTTTGATCAAAATAAATCAATTTGTTCATTATGGCAGGCTAAAATAGGACGGAACTGTCATTGGTCTATCAGTAGCAGTAGATAACTTCTTCAGTAACTTTACTAACTACAGTAAATAATTTTCATGTGCTGATCTATTGATGTGGCGACAGCGATTAAGCGTACAGAAAATTCTAAATAGGTGCTAAAAAGTCCGCCGTGGTAAGGAGCAGGATAGCCAAACTATCCGACATTGCGAGGAACTCTCCAGCCCTTAAGTGCAGGGGAACAGGGCAATGAGTGAGTGCTTCCACACGCCTGCCGCATTCTTGAATTCAGGCCAACATCGACTTATTCGTGTATTAAAAAAAACTAAGATACAGCCGAAACACTGACTCGAAGAAAAATCAGAGTGATAGACGGCATGACAACCAGAAAGGTTGCAGGCGAACAGCATTCAACAGTTGTACCGCACTTTGTCAATGGAATAGATTTAAGAGATCGATAGTATTCGCTTTCGAAGCGGAAAAAGACGAACAACTTCTTTTCACTGACATAGTTAGTTAACATAAATTTCAAAGGAATGAATTCAGTTTCAGCATTTAGAAAAAGCAACAGAGCTAACTAACACGCAACTTCACTTTACCTATGACACACCCGGCGTAATCTTTTCGAGTACAATTAAACCATGAAATTAAGCGCTGAAAATTACTGTAATGACCCCGTCAATCAGGTTAAGGTGATTAATTTCATAGGCTAGATATTCGGCAAAAGTGGATATTCTTTTCTTATTTTAACTGATCTTCTTTATCCAAAGCATAATCTCTTATTCGTCCCAATTATTTGAACACTCATCATCTTTAATCCCAGCATTTCTCCAACCCGTTCCAAGATAGAATTAAGAATTTTTGCATAGCTCAGAACCTGTTTGATTCCATTTTATAGAGGTTGAGCCCCATATCTAGCTCAAACATGACTAATTTGATTTGAAAAAATTGACTTTGATAATTGTGATAAGATCTATATTAAAAGGGCACATGGATCACTTAAACGAAGGATCAAAAAGCTTCAATGTGCTATCTGAAAATGCCGTTCAGAGAAGTCTTACATGTTGCACATGCCTTGGAAAACAAACATAATTTCACCAGTAAAGAAATCATGTTTCTTGACTATGATTAGGATGTCTTATTAAAGAATCCATGGCCAATTAACTCCGAAAGCAAAGGATTTCAATCTCCAATACATACACAAGTATTGTGAAAGTTTCTTTAGCCTGGATTTAATTTCCACCCATTCCTCTTAATTTCTTTTTCCTTTAACTCTAGCATTTTCCACTGTTTTCGTCTTCTTGTCTTTATTGCACTCTTCAGACGTCGCACATTACCACTTGCTGTACAGAAATTTTTCTGCACTTGTTTCTCTGAATTTTTACATTGATCAGTTACTGAAAATTTCTGCATCACTCCATCGTTAGCGTTGCTTTCAACAGCCGGAACATCGGATTTAAGTCGATAACCCCATCACGCTGGCCATGGTTGCGGAGAACATACTGATGAACTGTAGAACGGTGGCTGTAGTACCACAGCTCAAGAAGGCAAACCATATATAGTGCCGAAAGTATCTGGGCATTACCTTATTGAGCTTCTTCGTTAAAATCTATGCAAAAATGTCAGAAAGGATGTTCCGCTGAATAAATGACTCTATGATACAAGAGCAGTGTGGCTTTAGGCCAGGCCGAAGCATCTCTGACCAAATCTGCGCCTTGTGCAAGATTACTGAGAAGTCTTATCGGTTTTACATTTAATGTTCTAACAGTTAATAGCTGTTTGCTTGTGAAGCCTAAATTTTTATTAGGTCTTTAAAATGAAAAAGGTAGTAAACAGCGTTAGTTGGATTTCCCACAACGCAAGCAATCTTGTCAATAAGCTAATTCCGTTAAAACCTTGTGCTGTTTATAACACTGAATAATCAATTAAGACGGGTCAAGGCGCAGTGAAACCATAAGGGGCGCTCGCATAAAACAGCATGACCGCACACCTCGTTTATGCTAACATGACCAGACCAGAAAACCATGCTGTCCCAATTTTTTACTAGTCGCCGACTAACTACCCATTTCTCAGCTGGTTGCGCCGAAACAATGTGCAATTAATTCGATTCTCAAGGGGATTCGCGGATAAGACGGAATTTGTCCCTTCGGCGGATTTGAATCCGCTGTTCTACCCTGTCACCCATATTAACACTCCCGCCAGAGGGTTGATTTCGAAAGCTCTTTTCACTGCTCGCAGCTGTTGTAAAGTTTAGAGCCTGAAGGCGAGTTCAATAGTCTTTTAGCACCAGCCACTCAAGACCTGCCCAATTTACGCACGATGCATATTCCATTTTATCGCAGAACCGGATGAAAGATGACTGCAATTTCGAATACACTGCAAGATAAAAAATCATTTAAGGCAAAACTGATATACCGGCCTCTCATTTGTGTCATCAATAGCAATTAAGACAGTTAAGTTTTATCTGATCAGTTCGTTTTCGCCTCTTGTTCGATGTCTTCGCGTACTTACTATTGCGTGAAGGGAAAATAACGTGAACTGAAGCAACCAAACGAAACTGTTTACTGATTCGAATGACAATAGTCTCCATGTTCCAGCGGTAGCTAGACTCACGTGAAATCAATCCTTTTAAAATCGTGACTCAGCAATTAGTAATTTAGTAGCCACTTTCGGGGCGATGACAAACAGAAGCAGATAATATTTTCAATGCAGATTTCATGGCTGAAAGGATAAAACTTTAATGAAGATATTGCGCAGGACAAGAGAAGCATAATTAGTAACTCGCTAATTCAATACTCTTGACCTTTTTACCCGGTCCACAGACTGTGGCTAGCAGGTGCTCGTTTAACGTGCTATTTCTGCTAATTTAAGCAGTAAACTCCCTTGAATAACTGATAGCTCACCCAGTACCTTCGACTATTCAATTGATTTAATGCCATATATACGTATTCGTTTGCATGCGTGTCGTATTGCGGAACCGAATCATCTATATCAGGTGCAGGGTTTCTTAAAACCGTGCATCTTCATACCACTTAACAGCAAAGGACAAGCCATGATATAACAATTTTTTTCAATGACACAATTCAAGGGGGCAAACAAAACACGTAAATTAACGGTTAGATTTGGCAACACGCTCCAATTCGTCCTTCTTCTTGATGGCGTACGAATTGCTAGACCCCTTTAAGACAAAAGTCAAATAAGGTTAGACGACAAAATCGTATCAGCCATAAGTGCCGGTTTTACGTACCTTAGCCGCGTTGATCAATTCATCGGCTAAGCATTCTGCGATCGACTTGATGTTTCGGAACGCGCATTCTCGAGCACCAGTGCACAACAGCCAAATCGCCTGATTGACGCGACGCAGAGGACTAACGTCGACAGCCTGTCTCCTAACAGTGCCCGCGCGACCAATGCGTGTCGAGTCTTCTCTGGGACCACTGTTGATTATCGCGTTTACCAATATCTGGACCGGATTCTGAAAAAAATCTAAATCAATCACGGCAAAGCAGAAAAACAAATTAGCCTTTTTATGGACATGTTAAAATGTGGGCTGATAATAATCATGTTTTACAAGAGATAAAATGCAGCTGTTCCACTCAGTTGACAATTCAGTTCATTTCCAAGGCCCTCTCAATCAAATGAGATCACTAACAAGCAACTAAACAACAAATTCCTACAACGTTCACATGCTCAGGCCTTTAGTCATGCCTGAAATCAATCCCATTATCTGAACTCATTTTCATAAATGACGATGGCACATACACGAACATGTACCAACAAGCCAAAACATAAATCACTGAAACTGCATATTAATTTAATTGGGAAACTGACAAATATACTGTTCAAAACCAGGTTAAATTTTTACGACCGCTACAACAAGTACAGCCACATTCTGAAAATTTTCACCTTTTTATCATCAAAAAAATTTTATCCAATTAGGTACTGATCCCAAATGCAAATTACTAAATTCAGCTAAACAGAATTACATCTATGACTTAAAATCAATTCTAAAACCGATATTTGAATAGTTACACACTAAATAAAACTCAGCTACAAAAATAAATGCGGAACATTCTTCATCTCTATCTTCCATCACCGCTTCTT